TAACAATATTATATTGTTTGCCGTACCGATAAACTATTCTGCTACTTTAATTCTATATTATGTATTTTTAATATTGTTGTCTATGAACTATTGAGCTAGACGGCTGTTTACAATATTATTAACATTCACATATTATAGATAACTTAATAATAATTAATATGAATTTATTTTTGTGAAGTAAAATTTACTTATGGATAATTATATTGTTTGTAACAGCGTACCTACTAATAAATGCATATTTTATTAAATAAAAATATTGTTTGAATTTATTAATTTATATATTATATCTACTTTTCAAAAGAAACGACGGTGCATTTTCGCGTATGATGATAAATGTAATTTTTTCACCATTCTTTTGGTGTTACTTACTTGAAAATATTGAATTTTATGTCATTAACGTGTTATTTTGGCTGTAACTGTAGTTGTGTTAATATATACATTTAAAAATTAACTACCTATAATATGTCAGTAAGTGTTAATTACATTTCAATATTGGTACGTAATTGTTTATGCATGATAATAACTAATAAGTTTTATCATTGGTTATAAAATATACTAGGTACAAGCCACAAGGTGCCTACGTGGATTAATTATTCTGGATATAAGAGTGTCGAATTGCCGTCTTTCGAGTATAGAACATTACAACAATTTATCATCATATAATATAAGCGGCAAAGGATCTTAAATACCTACTCTGCAATATTGAGTACCTACAGGTACTGGATTTATCAGTTGTTGGATACCGGTGAATGTGTATATCACTTAATTATTATTATGTAGTACAAATTATAGTACCGATATATTGTAATATGCGCTAGCTAGAACTGTTTACGGACATTTTCAGTATCAATTTTTTTAATTTTTATTTCTATGAGTTAATAAAATTTTATTTTTGGGTAAAAATCTTGAAAATGTACTACAAGGTTCCTAATATATTGTTAAAATGGTATGTGAAAAATTTTAAAAACTGGTCACAGTTTTTTTTTTTATAAGTATTTAAAGTTCAAATATTGACAAAATACTTGAAAACGACAAAAATGTACAAATTATTTTGAGCTAGAAATTCATAAAAAAATATTTTTTTTTTTTAATTTTTATGATTTGAAAATGTAATACAAGACCTTGTACCTTTATCAAGAAAAAAAAATGTCTATTAGAAAGTCAAATTAAATTTCTATGAGTGTTTAAGTTCATATTTTTACAACATTTTACATATTCACTCGATTTCTCATGTAGCGATTTTCTTATTTTGTTGTAATTCAATAACGAATAACTGTAAATACATGAAAATTTCACTGAATGTTTATATTTTCATTTTCTATACACCATACAATTTTGAAAACATTTTGAGTGTACGCACAATTTCAAATTTCAAATGTTTTAGTTTTTTTTCTACAAATATCAATAAAATTTGTTGGGCTAAAAAGAAATGTAATACAAAGCTCCTGATATATTGCTACAATAGCTGTTAAAAATATTAAAAATACATATTGACAATTTTTTTTTAATAAGCATTTTAAGTTCGAATTTTGACAAAATTTAATAATTATTAGTAGTGAAAAATGTATAAAATGTTCAACTTTTATAGCTATGGATTGAAAAATTAAAACAAGGTTCCACGTAAATGGATCATATATAAATTATTATATATTTTATTCACAATTATATCATCAAATATACTTAGTAATTTCATAGGCCTTCGCTCAGAATCGTTTTTCTTATACAATGATATTATATCATTGAAATTAAATGTAACACCATCCATTACACCATAACAGAGACTGACTTAAAACCTACTGTACAGCAGAGCGGCATCCACTTGCCCACTTTTTTTTTAAAATTTAAAATGTATTATTTAAAAATTAAAATAGACCAGGATTTATATAAAATACCTACCCATCATATTCTTTGCCAATCATATTAACTAACTTATTTATCCGAAAATCTAATTTTAAGGGTTAAAGAGTTCATTTTCAAAAAAGTGGTCAAAGTCGTCTCCAAGACAACTTCATGACGAATATTCAAATTCATATATGTTTCAAAAATTGTATCCGATGACTAGGAGAGACGGTACAGTTTGCATAAAGTAGGCCTGTTTTGGCAGAGAACAGATACGGCTATTTAAAATTTTATAGTTGTATACTATTATAATATTTATCATTAACTACCAGTTGGGTATAAAAAAAAAATCAATAATGAGAATTGTATGGTTCTCTAAACATGAAAGTTTTATTAATCCAAAATTAATATTGTAATATTTATGTACTTAAATCCATGACGTTTATTTCTATGCTATTCTAGAATGCTAGATAGATCTAAAAAAACCTAAAGTGTATTATTCGGTATCGATGATGATTAACTTGTATTATTCTTTTATACAATTCATTTGTAAATCTCAATTTCCACTACCACAATTCAATTTTTATTTTTTTTTGTGGCTGCTATACAAATATATTTCCCCTAATAAAAAAACGGCCAATCCGAAGATTAAATCCACAATAATTGAACCACCTTTTTTTCCTTTACCCTGTGTGCCACTTTCAAATTATTATTTTATCAAAGGCTTAAATTGTATAGGATTCAACACGAACACCATATAAGTTTTAACCAATGTCCGAGGTAATTTACTATTCTTTGTTGATATACCTAGGGTAGCGTTCATGACCACGTTTTAGAAATTCAGTAAAAATTTAAAAATAAATAAATAATAATTTATGAAGATTAATTCCTTTCCATTGGAGGTCAAAATAATCTAAAAACAAAGTTGAACATTCAATAATAATATATAGGTTATTGCGTGCTATAGTACCAATATTATATAATTAAATCATAATTATAGTAGTCAGTTTTACATTATTAATGAGAGGCGAACATTTGGACTCTCCTATAGTCTGTCAATTGTTATATAATTTCAAATATTGTACCTAGTATAATAATATATTATGTTATTGCATATCAATATAATCAATTTATAAACACCACATAGGTATATTGAATACATTTGGAACTGAAAAATAATCACACTCAATATAGTGACATGGCACAACATAGTCGACATATTTTTACAAAAGATGGTACCTATGCAGTGAAGACCGTGGTTATGACGCAATGTTTGCGGTGGTTTTTACCTACCTACTGCGAGCCAGCCGTAAGTCTGTTTTTTGCCATTTTGACGTATACCTGTCGATCGTCTACTCGACGAAAGATCTATATCGATTCTCATTTACATTCGCTTATTGACAGAATAATTTAAAACTGTTAATGTTGTCAATAATTATTATTTTTGTAAATTACACAATAAGAAGGCCTTAAATGTTATTGCAATAAAAAAAAAACCCAAAAAATGCTATGAGTATTACGAAAATATTTATAAAAACTTATATTCCCAACTTAGAACCAATTCCTAATCAGTAATTACGCAACTGTAATGACTTATGAATTACTCTATAGAAATATTGATAGCCAAAAATGTTATGGATATCATTTAATTAACATTGTCCACACTCCACATATTATACTTAAGTATAAATTGGTAAGAGACCCAATAAAAAAAATCCTACGATAAATATTATAAACCTACTTACTAGTTACTAACTGTATTTTTTAGGTTTTAAACACATGAAGATAGTTTATGAAAATCCAATACCTATCAATAATAATAGTATGTGCTGCATTATATATTGGCTTATATGGTTATTTAATGATTCAAGTCGTACAGGTGTGTAGTAGTAGTTATATATTTGACTAATTGTATTAATTGTTAAAAAGTATTTTTTTTAACTATGTGGTTATAACAACTTATAACAACTTATAACAACTTATAACATTTTCAATCATTTAATATGATATAGAATTTTGTAAAAATTATTATCCTGTAGAATATGCAGTGCAAATATTATAATATAATATTCAATTTTTATAATAACAGTTTAAATATTGACATAATATTGTTCTACATAAAATAAAAAAAAAAACAAAAATTAATATTTTAGTTTTAAAAGAATAAAATAGAACCTACTTTATTTTTACTATATGACTATAATATAACAACAATTAATAATTATATGGAGCTTAGTTATTAATATTATACCTGTATTATTTGTAGGGCTTTATTGATCAAATAATATTGGGATTGTGTACAGTTGTCTGACGGGTTTCATAACAGTTACAATTTAATGCATATATACAAGAAATAGGTAAGTATGATTTAGTAAGTATTTTAATATGTGTTATACTTATACATTTAGTGCATACAAATATACAATGTGGACTAAATTAGTATAATATTGTATTATTTACACTTTACAACATGGTATTTCCACATGGTAAACCACTCATTTTCTCAAAAACTTCCATTGTTTTTGGAAATTTTTTTTTAGAAAATTTAAGCCAAAAACAAAGCATACATTTTAAAAAAAATGTTTAACAATATTTCGTCGTTATCATTTTTTATTAATGTAAAACGATAGATAGCTCCCAATTGTTTAAAACGAGTATTCCATTAACGATTAACATCAATACTTTTTAACAAATTCAATGTTTAATTCAATGATAAAAAATTATAATACTGTTGACAATATATTATTCCGAGTGTAAAAATCTCTGGAAAAAACAAATTAATAAGGTACAAACATGGCATATAATAATATGTTAATAACAAATAAATGGTATTGGTGGAATCGAAAACTTAACACATACAAAACAATAATAATATAAAATGTATGATGGCTTGAGGCGAGCGGTGGACGTTGGCATAAAACTGTACGACGCCGGACAAATAACGGCGATGACTGTGAACGTGCACTAACTTTCGCAAAAAAACGGGGACGAAAGACGTCATTTTCGTACATTGACGAACTTGAACAAAAACGGACGAATCGTCCTACAATATATTACAACGGGCGTCGCTGGTTCAAGAGGCGGCGACGGCGGCGAAATGTGGTAACTGGTAACATAGGCGGGATAACGGTGGCAGGGGATGAGGTCGAACTTTGCGGATATCATTCCAGGTCAACAAAACTCTGGCAGAAGCAAATTCTGCGTGCAGCGTTGACCATGGATTTCCTCATGAATCTTGTCGACCTCTTCCATAATGATCTGCGACGATCAGGATACCGTACAGGATTTGGCTGAATTTCAGTTGCCTGCACCGGTGGAACAGACTTCACTGATCCGTACACGGGCGAGTGAATGCTCGGCTCTGCTGAAGACCGGAAAATTACTGCATTTTCTCGCAGCGGCCGTGACTGTAGCCCGACAGTCGTAGCGACCCTGTGATCCACGGCCAAGTCCAAAGCTTCGATCATGGAAATGTGTTGCTGCAGGTATTTGAGCGTGTCCGTTTGGTCGTCTGTATCCTCAGTCGTGAGAACAGGTGGCACTGGTGGTGAGTCCATCTTTACTACCGAGTTGTTCACGGGTGAGTCGTCGGTCAGTTCTGGCGTCCACCGGAAACTCTCTGCAAGTCCACACCGTAACGGACATCCGACAGAAGTGTTATTGCGGTCACAAGCGTCGATCAAGGAGCGACCTTCTTTGTGCCAATCAGACGATTCTGTGCATCTTGAAGATCCCGCGTTGGCTTCCATCTCTGTCGTGGTGTGTACACGAAGTTTGAACGGCAAACGGAAATGACAAACGGTTTTTTTTTTACGAAATAATATGTCTACGACTGTCGCTAACGAGTAACGAGTGATAAACATGTAATGACGGATTTCAAATTATTATTATAACAGTCCTACAATAATATATAAACAACAGTCTTTTAGTTTCCCTAGTTTATATTGTGGCCAGCTATAGTAAATAGCAATTAAATACGAATAGCAGTTACAATTAAATCATACCTTAACAATAAAAGTTTTGATGAATAAAAACCTACAAATGTTCTTAAAATGATACCGGTTTTAGCGTAACCAGGATTCAGAATCATATCACACCAACCTGCATAGGTATCGTATTGTCAAATGATTTAGAAAAAAATCTTAATTTTAGGTTTTTAACTAAGTTTTTTAGATTTAAGTTATATCTATTCACTTCATAAGAAATTATTTGTTTTACCAGGGCCAGATATGTCTTTTTAGATTCTGAGAGGAGCGATGAATTTATTGATTTTACAATGATGTGTGTTGCTATTTTTATTTTTTTTATTTTAATATTTTTTTGTGTCTGTCATCACCTTTTAGGATAGTGACGACGTGACTTGCTTGGATTTTCTTCAACAGTATCTTTTCTGATAGGAAAGTGAATCTAGTTGGTACTTTGGGGGGTCAAAAGTAAAATTTCCAGTTTTTTTCAAAAGTGCCTTGAAAAAAAAAAAGAAAAATTAAGGAAAAACGGGAATTTTTACGCTAAATCGATTTTACACGAAATCGATTTTGGTTTTTGTTGTTACTCTAAAACAAATGAACGTATATACATGAACATTTTACTGGTTGTTTATATTTCCATTTTTTATACATGATAAAATTTTCCAAATATTTTGAGTTATTTTGAGCTCTTTACGGATATTTTTAGTTTTTTTTTTTCTATAAATATCAATACAATTTTATTTGTTGGGTACAAAAGCTGAAAAATTCAATAGAAGGCTTCTAATTTATTGTTTCAAAGACAGATGAAAAATATTAAAAATCCTTAGTCGCAGTTTTTTGTTATGAGCATTTAAAGTTCAAATATTGACAAAATACGAAAAATGATGAAAATTTGCAAATTATTTTGAGTTAAAAATTCATAATTTTTTTTTTTAAATCATAGATATGAAAATGTAATACAAAAGTCCTCATAAGTTTGTCTACCTTTATCAAGAAAAAAAATGTCTACAAAAAACTCAAATTAAATTTTTATGAGCGTTTGAAATTCATATTTTTACAACATTTGATATTCACTCGATTTCTCATGTAACGATTTTCTAATTTTGTTGTAATTGAAAAACTGATGACTGTAGATACTTGAAAATTTCACTGAATGTTTATATAATCATTTCCTATACACCATACAATTTTGAAAATATTTTTCTCTTTTTGAGCTGTTTACGGACATTCTCAATTTTTTTTCTATAAATATCAATAAAATTTTATTTTTTGGGTAGAAAATGGTGAATATTTAATGTAAAGCTCCTGATATATTGTTACAATAGCACTTGAAAATATTAAAAATACATGGGCACAATTATTTTTTATAAGCATTTAAAGTTCAAATTTTGACAAAATTTATCACATTTTAAATTTAATAATAATTTTGTAGTTAAAAATTTATAAAATGTTCAACTTCTTTAGCTAATGATTGAAAATTTAAAACAAGATTCTACGTAAATAGGTTATATATATAAATTACTTTATTCACCTTAGTATCATTAAATATACTTCGTAATATCATAGACTGACATACCGTCTCGGCTCAGAATCGTTTTCTTATACAATGATATTATATCATTGAATTCAAATTTAATACCATCCATTATACAGTGACCCACTTGTAACCTACTGTACAGCAGAGCACCTTTTTTTAGTTTAAAATTATAAATATATTTAAGTAATTTGTAAATATAAAAACATCCCTTGACATTTTTGGGTCTGGACCTCCCCCATTGATTGACAGAACGTGTTGCTTTTAATGACCTATAATTTTTCATTATAGGTACTTTTTACATGATAAAAAAAAATGTGGATGTCTCTTAGAAAAATGTCTGTGTTCGACTCTGCGAAAACTATAATTCCTTCTATTGCGGGGGTCAATAATATAATCTAAAAATAAAAAAATAATTTTAAATAATATATAGGTTAGTGCGTGTTAGCACCTACCCATCTTATTAATGCATAGGTATAGTAGGTACCCCATATAATTATACAATAGTAATATTATCGTACCTTTGTGTTTTTGCATATACTAAAATTAATTTATTAACACCACGTCGGTGTTAAATAAATTATAATATTAGAAAGTGGAAAATGATCACCCTCAGTGTGCCAACTGAGATGAGTCATGTCGCACACGGTCGAACATTTTATCCAAAAGACCGGCCGGAGTGACGTCCGTCGTTATGCTACAATTTGTGTGGAATTTTTTACGTACTGCGATTTAGTCGTAACTCTGTTCTTCGCCATCTCTGCGTGCCTGTCGATCGTCTACTCGGAGGAAGACCACCTGTCCAATCGCGTTTACGGCTTCTTGTGGTTGTTCGTCGAGATCCACGTGTTTGCTCTAATCGTCGCCAGGTTGTACCATCAGTCGCAGTGTCGCGACATGTACGACCGTTCGCAGCTGATAGAGCAGAGGATACCGGAAAACTATAGACGGACAATCTCGATGGTGATCGTGTACTACTGCATCATGTCCACCGTGCACGTCACAAGTCCCCTGTTGTACATGATTTTCTCCGATTCGGCTCAGGTGGGCGACCCGTTCGGTTTCCCTTTCGCGGACGTGTTGCCGATAAAAACGACGAACCCGACTGTTTACGTGTGCAAATATATCGTATACACTTTTCCCGTTTACTTGACACACTTGGAATGCTGTTTCATGAACGTGACGTTCATGTATTTCACGGGCGTCGTGAAGAGACATTTTCAGGTACTCGACCGACAGGTCCTAGAAGCTGTGGCAAACGAGGACGAACAGAAATTTAAGATGGCCATCAAACACCATCAGGAGTCGTTGAAGTGAGTTGTGTCCAATGCGCTGTACCCATATGGTTCATAAGTTTATTTTTGGTGACGTTTAACTTAAAAATACTGTCGGCCAAAAAAATAATATTTTAAAATATAGCTATAATAATCTTATATATGTGGCTTGGCGTGGCGCGTTGGGGCTGCTACCAGTCACGCAACGTGACTGAGAGTAAGTAACGGCCGTTGCCACTAGTTCCTGGATGGGTGACCACCCGGGTTAGTTGTGAGCATAAACCTTGCCAACCTTATGGTACTAACCGTGCCAAACTTACAGGCTAATGACCTCAGTCGTCGAAGTCTTAATCCAATTAAAAAAATAAAAAATAACAATAATCTGATGTTTATCTTATGTGAGCATATATTTTTATACATATTATTTAGTAACAATTAATGAATAAATCTATAATAATATCTATTACCAAAATTGTATAAGAACATGTATAAAAATTAATGTCCACACTCCACCCTTACTAAAACAGAAACTAGTAAAAGACCGAAATCAAAAAAAGCTTTTAATATCTAAAATTAATATTATATAAATGTATAAACTAACCTACTGTATTTTTAGGTTTTTTAAAGAAATGGAGACAGTTTATGAAAAACCGATATTAATGACAATAGAATTTTGTGGATTATATATCGGCTTAACTAGTTATATCATGATTCAATGCATACAGGTGTGTGGTAGTAATAATATATTTAATTAATAGTATAAAATAATAAAAATATATTATTTACTCGGGGGGTTAACAACTTCACATTTTCAATAATTTTACATTTTATAGAATTTCCTAAAAATACTATCCTGTAGAATATTATGCAGTGCAAATATTAACATTATACAAGAAATTCTTATAACAAAAATATAAATATTGTTCTATAAATATAAAAAAAAAAACAAAAATAAATTTAGTTTTAAATGAATATAATACTACCAAGGTGGATATATATTTATATCCACTTTGAATACTACGTTATTTTTAATATCATATAACTATATAACAACAATTAATTATATGGCGTTTAGTTTATATTTTATTCTACCTGTATTATTTTTAGGGTGTTATTCATCCAATAATATTGGCATTGTGTATAGCTAGTAGCACGGCGAGTCTCATAACAATATCAATTTATTGCGTTTGTGGAAGTAATCTGTATGATTTAGTAAGTATTTTTAATATGTTTTATACTTGTACACTTAATACACTCATTATATCAAAAACTTCTAATGTTTTCGCATTTCGGAAATATATTTTTTAGACAATTTAAGTCGATAAACAAAAAATAAAAAAAGCGAGTAAGTGGGTGTCACTCTGCTGTACAGTTTGTGAAAAGTGATTGACTGGAATGGATGGTGTTAACATTTGAACTCAATGATATAATATATCATTGTATATGAGAAATGATTCTGATCGGAGTCGATTTGTCAGCCTAGGATATTATTTTATTTTATATTAATTATATTGTTATTAATGTTATTTGCATATTATCACATTTGAATATTCCAATATATACTTGAGAATAAATGAGAAGTATCAATTACCCGCCACAAATAACATTTTTAAATTTCAACAAAATAACTAAAATCGTTATTTAATATATAATTTTGTCTAATTTTTAACTTCAAATCATTAATTATTTTGAAAATTTTATCGTGTATAAAAAACTCGAATATAAACAACCCGTGAAAATTTCGTTTGTAATCATTCGTTTGTTTAAGAGTTACACCAAAAACCAAAATCGATTTTGTCGAAAACCGATCTTGAGTAAAAATTCCCGTTTTCCTTTAACTTTTATGTTGTTTTTCTCGGCGCTTTTGAAAACTAACTGTTGGAAATTTTAAATTTTGACTTCCCGAAGCACCAACTAGATTCACTTAGGTACCCATCAAACAAGATACTGTTGAAGAAAATCGAAGCTTTTTTACTGCACCAAACGGCTGTGATAGACACAAAAATTAAAAATTAAAATTACACATCATTGTAAACTCAATACATTCATCGTTTCGCCCAGAATCTAAAATTTTTCATCACTATAATTTTTTATCGGCATAAAACGATGGAAAATGACTTCAAACATAATAAAAATAATATATAACGCAGTTTACGTTGTACCTCAAATTTCAATACTTTTCATATTGCCATGCTCATGCACGATGCACCTATATATATATATATATATATTTATATTTATTTTAACTTCTTAGCACGATGGTATATTGAACTCACTTTTTGAACAGCAATCATGTTATTCTCGAAACAAATCATTAAAACATCTTATTTTGATGATGATGAAAAGAGCAACAATACCATTAGAATTAAAAGCTGGTTCCATTTTCAAGATAAACTTAAATCTACTTGTCAAAGTAAGCAGTGTTATTTTTTGTTTATCTACCTATTATAAAGAAAATGGTTTTGGATTAGGTAACTTAAATTTCTCGGTTGCTCTATTTTAGAAAACATAAATTATAACACATTATAATAGTCATATATTTGTATTCATTTCAGATCCTAAAATTTACATATACGGTGTTTAATCTTTTATTAACTTCAGTCAATCGCCAAATAAAAGAAACTGCAATATGAAAACAAAAATTTTCTTTTTAAATAATTAGTAAACATTAGGTATGATAAAAATATTTTTATTTTTATTTCTTAAATGTTGTTTTTAAATCAAATTGTATTTGTCTGTTGAATAAAAATTGTTGTTAGTAATTTTATTTTCTTTCAGATCTTAAAATGTTTCACACATGCCGTGTTTAACACCGTACTAACATCATCTTTCAATAAAATATCACCACTCATCGCGCAAATGCAGTGTTGGAACCTTTTTTATAAGGTAAATTATATATATATTATGGTCACCTATGTTTTGAGTGATTTCCTATATGTTTAATATTATATTCTTCCTAGTTCTTACTTAAATAATTATAGGTACACATCAGTGATAGTTATTAGTTATAACTTAAAATCAGGATACAATTTCAAATCAATTTTAATTATATAAAAGACGAGTGTAACTGAGTGTTTATATTGTTTAAAATATTATTGTAAATACAGAGAACATTAGATTTAACAATTGGATTTAAGACGAGTACAGTAGTTATGATTCGTAACTGTGATTTCATCTTTCACATAATCATACATTAATAAACATATATTTTTCAAGTATAAGGAATTTAAGTTTTGAATATTTAAATCGTTTTATATGTAATAAACTAGAAGTTGGATGTAAAGAAGACCTATTAACATTGAATTTGATTCCATAAATAAATTGTGGGAGAGCATAATACACTTTTTAAAATGCTTTTCTAGTTTACTGAATAGATGGTATAGATGGACAGGTCTAGCTTTATATTAAATTCCCAAAAATATTAATATGCATTAATTGAATTATCATTAATAGTATTGCTAATGATAAAAATAGAAATTGTGATTTTATTTTATAGTTTTATTAATTGTACAATGTTTATGATTGTAAGAAACTAAGAACTATTTTAATTTTGTTTTGTAGGTGCATTACGCTGGCATCCGCAGGTTAGGAAATGTACCTACTCAAAACCGGGAACCAAAATTTGTTTTATAATTTATACAAATTTGTAATCACATGTTTTATTTTTTGAACAAAGTTTTAGATTTGAACTGTGATTAATTTTATTTGAATATGAGTTATAACAAAACATCAAACTTCTTAAAAAATAGAGATGTAGGTAATACATATGAAGTTATGAAAAATGATAAATTGGTAATAAATGTTTACCTAGCAAGTGAGAACTTAGTATTTAATGTAGGTATATTAATACTTAAACTAGTTGTTACTTAAGTTAAGTATTTATTTCAGCATACATAGTAATCTTGAATAATACTACTACTTTACTACACTAATTTATATACCACAATATCACAAACCGTTCTACGACCAGACGCGGTTTTAGGACTAAATTTTCGTATGGGCAACAGTATACATTTATATACATTTAGGTATAATTAGGACGGCCTTAACTACGAATAAAATTCCTCCCCCCTCCCCCAAACATTTTCTTAATAAATTATTCATGCTTATAGTTTCCACGGTAGTGGTGTATGCAAGTGGTGGGGGGGGCTAACGGGCTGAAGCCCCCCTACTACCAGTATTATTATTATTTAAAAAAAAATAATATTTATCAAATTTCAACTGTCGTAATTTACTTAGTACGCAAGACGTGAATTCATATACGTCTTACCAGAACAAATTAATTTTTGCATAAACATTATATTTGTATACCAATTGTTTTCCTAAACTTATCAGTAATTTTTTTGAATAATAATTTGAAAATTTAATACAAGATTATTCATAAGTTTGTCTACCCTTATAAAAAAAAAAATAATATCTATAAGTAAATCAAATTACATTTTTATGAGCGTTTGAATTTCATATTTTTAAAAGATTAGATATTCCCTCAATTTTTCGTGTAGCGATTTTGTTATTTTGTTGTAATTCAAAAACGAATAACTGTAGATACATGCAAATTTCACTAAATGTTCATATTTTCGTTTTATATATACCATAAAATGTTTTAAAATATATTGACTCTTTTTGAGCTGTTTACGAACATTGTCAGTTTTCAATTTTTTAGTTTTTTCTATAATTGTCAATAAATGATATTTGTTGGGTAAAAAAGCATGAACATTTAGTACAAGATTCCTGATATATTGTTACAGAATCCGTTGGAACATATTAAAAATAAATATGCACACTTTTTTTTATAAGCATTTTTACAAAATTCATCAAATTTAAAATAAAAAAATTATTTCGTAGTTAAAAATGTATAAAATGTTCAACATGAAAGTATAGCTAAGGATCGAAAATTTAAAACAAGGTTTCACTTAAATAGCGATGTATATAAGTTACTAAAATCGAAAGTATAATAATATGATATATAATATGACGAATGTCTTTTCTTAATCATTGCCTGCAGTGTGATACTATGTTGAATTAAAACTATTTAATTTGAAATACTTGTGTCATAATAATCCGACTACAAAACATTCAATTTGTTTTAAAAAAAATTAAATGTAATAAAAATTACTAGTTTAAATTTTGAAATTTGAGGTACTCTATAGCGACCGGGACATGGGCCCCGGATCGCCCCCTCTAGATCGGGTACTGAGTCTACATAACATAAAACGCAGTGTAATTCAAACAACGTGTAGATATTTTTATTAAGAATAGTAATAATAATAATAATAATAAATATAATAAATAATTATAATTGTTTATGTATATATATTTATAATATATAATATTATGTATGTTACAACCAGCGATGGCGTACAATTTCGTTATTTGCATATAGTATTATAATGGCCGGCAGGCCGATCTTCGCATTCGCAAATAATAGTCAACTAATATAATAATATTATATTTTAGTAGTAATGCTTATTATAATAATGTACATGTGATTGTATGGTTTCGTTATTTATTTATTTATTTATTTTTTTTTTAATAATAATAATGTCTATATATAATAACGCATAAAAAAAAAATCGCACAACGACCAAATACAATAATAATAATAATAATAATAAATACACGTAGGTAATATAGATATAGGTAATTCATATATATAATAATAATATATTACACCAGTAATAATAATAATAGTTATAAAATAAATAAATCGAGATGAATACAAATCAAGTAGGAGGTAGGTACATTAATAATAATTATCGTAATATAAAATATGTAATAATAATAATAATTATAATTTAATATAATGACTTATAATGACGTGTGTATGTGTGTGTGTGTGTGTGCTGAATAATATACAAATCGTCAGTGTAACGACATTATTTGCTCAGTGTACAAAATTGGTATAATAATATTATTATGACGTGCAATGATCATATAATAGTAATAATAATAATAATAATTATCATATTATTATACTATCGTGATTGATCGTGTGTATTGTTATTACAGGTTGTAGAGAGTGGGGCAGTGAAAACGGCTGACATTCAAAATAGAGTTTTTTTCGACTATGATTATTTTGTTCGACGATTATGCTCACTAAACGATAAATTATTATTAGTTCAAAATCAACTCAACGAAACAACATGCTTCGTTAAGTGTGTAGGTACCTATGTAGTGATGTAGACAACGCGTAGTTTTGCAATGAATGACATAGTGTCGTTTCGAAAAAATTACCAAGACTGTGGCATGCAATACCAGCACCTTATAGGGATCATATAATATTTTGGTGCAGTAAATTTCGAACTTAAAGTTTAAACGGATCCAGCTCACAACGAAAACGTGGAAGAGATATGGCGGTCGTCCAGAGGAAATATTTTTACTTTTTTTGAATAATTATTGTCACGACGTGTCTAATAATTTTATTTCAACAGTTTGTTTTCGTCGGTTTTTTTAAAATCGATTCTGAAAACCTGCACTCTGCAGTTTCAGTGCCCCCGCACCGGTCACCTTGAACCCCTAGTCTATACAGCCGACTTATGTCAAAAATTCAACGGAACAATAATATTTTGCAATGACCACAATCGGTGGATCGGCAGACTCATATTTAACGGCCATCCAGGGTATATATACCTACCTGTATTTTATCCGTATTACTCGAAATCATTTTATTACGATTGATCGCAATTACGTTAGTGCATATTTTGACAGATCGTGAAGGATATGAAGGTTGTACGCATATAATATATATATATAGGTGGTAAATAAATCGTATGCGCTCGTCGGGTTGTCAATACATACAGCCGAGTACGCCTATATTATGTGTATGGATGAGTGACTTTAAGGTGCATATATATAATATTTATACCAACAGTTACCCTCAAAATTACCTTTTAACCTATTCCTCGCTCCCCCCACACATACGCTGTCTACAGAAAAATGTTGGGAAAATTTCCCTCTTTTTACCGTGCGCGTTATTTGCGTCGAGAGCAATCATTATTATTATTATTATTATTATCATTGGTACATACATTCGGTCGAGGGCAGCTGCTGGTACTTTAAATGCCGAAAAAAGGCTATAGAAGTAATACGTCGTTCGATCGAATCCGAAATATTATATATTTGTAAAATAATAGTAAAAGAATATCGTAGTCCGGAAACGATCGACGGACTCTGAGGACGCGCGCGGTTTCCGTTCAGCTGCACGTAACGACAGCAACAACAAAATAATAATAATAATAATAATAATAATAATAATATTAATAATCTAGGAACGATTTTTGGCACAATCGAAAGAGATTAATGCTTAAGATAAAAAAAAATTAAAATTAAATTAAAACGAACACCCACTTGTCGAGTCGATTATAATAATTATAGGTATTCGTCTTGTAAACGCACAGTCGTGTAGAACCGTACTGCGAACACGTTGGGGGGGGAGGAGTGAGTAAATAATAATTATAATATTATGTGATATACCTAATATTATTATCATAAAGAACATGGAAATTACATTAAATCCTCGTTCGCCCGGTTTGTGGTACAGCAGAGAGCGATCGCGATATAGCATAATATAGGCACCTAATATAATAATGATATAAAATGATACTAATATTATATTTGTCATGGTTCGCGTACACCCGCATAATATAATATTATATTGTGCACAGTAAAATCCGATTATTACAAAAGGATTTCCAGTTATGTAGCCAATGGTAGGTAGGTACTTATCTAATTTGGTCGGTTTCATGTCTCACTCTCGGGGTACATGTTTTTGTCGTTTGGAATTTTGGATACCTACGACGGAGTTCGGATCTGATTCTCTATATAGGTCCCCTTGAAGATCGTTATGAGCGGGTTCTACTTTTGTAGATGAAATTATTATTATAATATTATGATATTCGAAAGCGGCTCCTCCGACTTCCGACTCTGATGTACGACTGTCGTGTATTGTATTATGTGCAATGATATTCCAACTCAACTAACAACTATAATTAATGCCGAAATTTCGAGCGTTTTGGGGGCTTATACCGCGACCGGAATGACGAACGATCCTCGTCGGGTTTGAAACGGGTATAGGTATAATATGTTCGTGATAATAATATTTAATATTGGTACTTATTAATAACGTATCGATAAATAATAATAATAATTATTACAACTATATTATAATAATTTATAATATAATATAATATGTACAGGGTTATTGAGCATGTGAGCTGTGACCTGCAAAAGCCAACACATTACAAATGTTTCCGATTTTGAGACAATCCTCTCAGACGGGTTGGGGTGGGGTGGTGGCACGTCCGTCTTTTAACGGGTACCTATATGGGATAGGGGGTAGGTGGGCGCCGGGTTTTCCAAATAATTTCATGGGGTGCATCAGTGCGGGGTGCTCACTTATAACATTATACCTACGTATAGTTTAATTAATTTCAGCACCCCACATTATGGAATGGGTCGAGGGGTGTTTGAGCAGCACCCCAACGAGTCGGGTAAGTATAATATTATTATTCGATATCCGGCCAAGTCGGGTAAGACGTCGTCCGCACTGTCGTTTCAAAAATTAAAAGTAGATCGTGTACGTCTAGAACAAGAGTTGCTCGTGTTTTTGAAAGAGATTTCATTGCTTTCGTGAAGTTAAACAATAATATATTAGTATCTGAATCGGTCTTGAGTAAACGGTTTCCGAGACTCGTGGGTCACTGTTTTTCGCGTTGCTTTCGAAAATATAATTTGTTCGCAGGTGATATTGCGCAGTAATCCGATTACTAACGGCGTTACCTTTTTGAGTACAACGAGCGATATTGTCCCCCCGACACTTGAAACTAAAATCTTTAGAGTGAATGTTATTATAAATAATAAGTCATTGTACGAGAGAAAAAGACGGCGGCGCGAAGACTGAGAAGACGGCGGCAATAGACAGTGTCTCCGATGTAGTATAGTACGGAGACGACGGTGACCGGAAATCCGGGCTGAGCGGCGGTGGATGCAGTGGCGGCAGTGGATGCAGTGGCGACAGTGGCGGCGTTTATCACAACAGCGTCGTATATATATATATTATATTACAACAACAACAACAATAACAACAACATCGACGACGGCAAAGATAATAATAAAACAACGCACAACCGACGCTCACCAATATTTGAGTCACACACTCGATGATAGATTTGCCGTTACACGTTTCAGACGTCGGTCGTGGGTCATATGATGTCCGTCTCGTACACCTTGCTGACGGTCGTCGTCGTCGTCGTCGCGGCAGTGGCCTTGTTGTTTGCGGTCGGCCGTTGCTTTTCGTCGTCGGCCGCGGTGGCAGTGGTGCTGGTGGGGTTGGTGGCCACGGCTGCGGCCAGCTGGGTGAGCGAACCCGATATGGGGGCGGCCGCGCTCATGGACAGACCCATCTTCAACAGCAGGTTGCCCTCGCTGCCCGTCTTCTTGAGCTGGAGCAGGTCGGGCGGCGGCTGCGACCGTTGCAACTGCTGCAGCCGCGTGTACTGTTCCTGCAGCGCTTTCTGCTTCTTCAACAGTTCCTGGTGCCGCTGCTCCAACTGTTCCTGTCTGGTGGTCGTCGGCGCGGCCGGCGACGGCGGCGGTTGCTGCGCGGTGGCCGCGGCCGGCGGTTCGGGCATGGGCGGTTTGCCGCAGCCGCTGAGCGCCACGGTGGTCAGCGACCCCTTCCGGCTTGGCGGGCTGCCGCCGGCCGACGATGACGACACCGAGCCCCTGGGCGACGACGTGGGGCCACCCACCGCGCTGCCCGCCGTGGTCGGCGACGCCACCGGTGACTTGGAACTGGTCCGCGGGGGCGGCGGCGGGGGCATACGCTTGTTCTGCAGGTCGGGCGTCCGTTCGGGCACGGGCGGCTTGCCCCCTGCCTCCGAAGACGTGCTGCTCAGACGTCGCAATACCGGTTTAGGGGCGACCGCGACCGCCGGACCGCTGACTGCACGGTACGGTGACCGCCGTCGCTTCCGCCGCCAAAGCCGGCGTCGCCGCCGCCGTCGTCTGTTCTACCGCCACTGACGCCACTGGCTCCACTGACTCCGCCGCCACCGCCGTCGCCACGGACACCGCCGCCGGGATAGTCTGCAGTTCGTCTAGCAGAGTGTCGAGTGCGTTCTCCGCACCGGTTGGCTCGCACTTTCCAGCACTACCGCTGCCGTCGTCGGTTCCTGTTCCGGTCTGCTCCACGACACTCCCCTGTCCAGCGACACTACCCTGCGAAAATCACACAAAAAACCCATTTTAATAACGTTCGGTTGACCGCAACGTACTTTTGCACACGTAAATATATTATGTTATTTGTTAAGAGGATGTCTGAGCAATATTTGTTTTGTCTCTCAGACCCACGTCGTGGACAAAACAAGCTCAAACAATTTTTGAATAATCTCAGGTTAAAATCAGTTATTACAACATTTACCCCGAGCACAATATTTTCGAGGGTTTGACATAATATTAGGCTGGTTTTACATAATATTATTAAATTGTTTGACTTTAAAAATTTAAATTATTTCTTTTTTTGTAAATTCAAACGAATATTTTGATTGTTTTCAGACGATATTTGGACAAATCTTGTGTGAAATCATCAAAAATATTGTTCTCCACAATGTCTGCAATGGGTTATTTCACTCTCTAAGATTGCTCGCGGGAACATAAGGGAAAATGTATGTTATTTTCGCTAATTTATTCGGTTTGTCTATAAGTTGCGAGCGGGCCAGAGAGAGAACTGACAGTGCGCAGACATCCTCTCAACATTATATAGAAGGTAATAATTAAATACGATAGTATAATATGACGACGTATGTCAGGATCTCGCTGATATAGGTCGTTTCGTAAAGAGGACGCCGGGCGATCTATATATTATATTAACTATAGGTCATTCGGTAACCGGCGGTTACCATACCATACGGGTTAAGACTTAGGAGCCAATACGAAGATTAACGAAAACGGAACTTCGGTGTAGGTACATTAATATATTTAGATCGTCTTGGCGTCCTCTTGACACGTCGTGCGGTGATCACGATGGTTATATATAGTTTTTTTTAAATATATATCCGACCGATTCGTCGTGGGGACCGCAAATGACTGTCTTCCAATCGAAATAACAAATAATTACTCTCAACTTAACAAAAAGGGTTTCAGCTGAGTTTTATTTTCACGCGAGCTCAGTGTGATCATATTATTATTATTCGAAGTCATTAAAACGATTGGACAAAAACGTTGAACGACTGTCGTTTATGGGCCTAATCTCGTCGATCATCTATTCGAAAGACGATATGTTTAACGCTTTCACTTGAACGAATTTTATGATAAATTATGCTTTTCATTTGATATCTCTCGGAGTGGACCGGAAATATTATAATTCTTCGAATTCTAATAAAAAGTGTACTCTGATAAATGACATAAATCGTACCTAGTAAGTTATGTTTACAAACTTTTTGTTAGAAGTGTTTTTTTTTTTTTTTAAAGTGGTGGATATCTCGTCTATGTTTGGTCGTTTATTTCGTAAAATATCAAATTTTATTGTTTATATCCCCCACCATCTATAGTCGAGTCTAGTAGGCAGAGCATATTGTTATTATTATTATGTTGCGAAACACGCATTTGCTTTCAGACTTAATTTTACTATAAAGTATACAGATAGGTGAAATGATGAAGTCTTTATCGACCGCAGGAACTGTGTGAAAAATATTGTCTGTGAGTTTTGTTCGGCGATTAATATTATACAATATTGTATTATTATAATTAGGATGAAAAGAATATTTTAAAACTGAAAAAAGTCTCATAGTTAATTGTTTTTTTTTATTCGAAATAATAACTGTACGCAGGTCGATCGTTTATTCGGGATTGTCTTTGATTACCCACTTAATTTATTACTGGAAGAAAACTTTTTCACCATTGTACAGTGTATTGATTTGATTTTTTAATCACAGTCAGCGGAGGTTCGATGACACTTTATCGATTTCGTTTGAGAGGGCTCGGATTTCGTGATTTTCGTTATTTAGTGCAAACAATATTATTTGTTGAAAATTATAATCACACGTCATATAGGAAGGTTTTACGATTGGAGATTATTCTCTCCGTCGACAGAAAACTAACCTACGATCGTTCTGTCCGTCAATAGAAACAAATAGATTCAAACGTAATTAATAATAATATTATGTTAAGTAGCGGAATAGAAGACGAGCGTTTATTTTTTAAAGCTTTATTTAATTGAGTAAAATAATAGTGACGATAAGCCATCATATAATAACAGTTCGGGAACATCACAGGTATAATAATAATAATATTATAATTGGTACATTGTCTCTATTGTTGTAACAGAATATTATTCATCACGATAAATCGCATTAAACGGCGTAGGTACCTATTATTGTTTTATTGTGTCTAGACGGGCTGGTCTGCACGAGAGGAATATATCTAAAACGATGTGTGAAAGAGATTTTTTTCGTTTTAATTACGGGAAGTTATGCGCACAACCCGTCGGGTTTAAGCTTTAACTAAATATATTATGTACTTTTTTTTCAACAAAATTTCTTTAGCGTGCGCATAATTGATTTCAATTAAGGTCATGGGGGAAACGGTCAATTTGAGCGGAATATTATAATAATATTATGCGTTCTATTATTTGGTATATATTTATATATTATGTTATAGGAGCACAACGACGGTTTAAAATATCATGTAAGAGAGGATGATACTTCGTTTGGCGCTCCGAAACGGCTGACGGCCAAGAAATAAAATTATTCATCTCACGAGAAATTCATCGTTATCGCGAGAATTTCGTGGGGGTTATCCTCAAAACATCCACGTTTAGTATGGCACCCCGAGAGTGGGTCTATAGAGTATTTTATAACCATCAATTTGTTTATATCGTCGGTTAATCGTCGTATGTAAATCGTACGGTTGAGATGGTACTACGCCTACCCATCTATAATATTATGTGGACTTGACAGGAAATTACGTTTTGAACGAAAACCATCATCGGACGACTCCGAGCAGGTACCTATCTGTATATATATATATAATATTACACGATTAACCGGTAACAAGTTTATCCGAGGTAAGCACGTCTCGGAATTAAATTGTTTATTAACGCGTGGAAGGGCTAAATTATATTATTAATGTTTTAATAGAAATCCGAGTCGGTACGAATAATAATAATAATAATCGACATTTTTGTTACGCAGTCGTGACGAGGTGGGTATAGGTCGTCGTCGTCATATTATACGCGAGCCCAATCGCTTTTTCTCGAAACGATTGAAAGACAGTCATCGCACCGAATCCTTATATTAATATTATATACCATATACAATATATGATATGATATTGTGATTAATTATTGTGCGCAAACATATTATTATCAATCTACGTCCAAGCCAAATATAATTTAAATATTAATTACGTCTGTGCAGTACAACATATAAGCATTATTATCAGCGTGTGTGCGGCGCAAGACCAGCTACGTGTAATGTGTGTCTAAGAAAATAGTACGTTGGACGCGTGTAAAAATATAAAACGCTTTTCCGAACGGACGTCCATTCAATGGTGTTTTCGGACATCTTTCTGGGGGGTTTTTTTCTGTCATTTGTCTCAAATAAAAAGGCCCAAAACGGCTTTTTAAAACCGTAAAAGATAAACCCAAATCCATAAACCACGCTCTAGTATAATATGCACCGTTAAATATTCGTCCGCCCGAGTGTTTTATAATATAGTCTAATAGTGCATTAGTATTAACCGGTGGATCGGTATGACGTCACGACCTTCACCGAAGTACGCGCAAGCATGCAGCAGCCAACAGGTGTTACAATGATAATATTGATACGATATCTATTGTATTTGATCCACTACGCAACAGAGTATAGGTAAGTATGTTAAGCCAAACGCGGATTGCAATATAATAATATGATTAGACTTGATTTAGACTTGGTCCCATAATGTAATAGAATCGAGAGAACGTTTAAGTCGTACGGGTAAGTGGTCGAATCTGGGGAGGTGAGGTCCAGGTCCTCCCCCCGAAACGTTTAAGAGTAGTACATACAAGAATTTTTCATTTTGATACGTATAAGACGTGTCCGTATTAAAAAACAGTTTAACCGGATTTTGTTTTCAGTCACGGCTTTGGTAGCCGTCGATTTTGCAAAGGCAAAGTGATCGGATGAATCGATCGTGTCCTCGCGTCTATTATTGTGTTTCATTTGTTTATGAGCACAGTGGCGTATTGGCGATTTCCTTTTGGGGGTTGATATCGGACAAAAAAATTCGGCGCATCAGATGCATACTCAGCAGCCTCCCCCGGATTCCTTTAGTCGTTACATTTATGTATGAGGTGCACTTGTATATAGGCTATGTTTTTACAAATTAACATATTAATTGAAACAAACTGAATAAAAAATTAAAGAAAAAAGGCTTGGGGTGGGGGGGGGTGGTTAATATATCACCCTTCAATCACCATAAATACGCCACTGTATATTACCAACATAGGGGTAGTAATATTATTGTTAAGAAATTAAGTATTATATTATAATATGCCTAATAGTCGATTAGTGATTTTGTTATCGTGATATTCTTTCTACGACGACGGTTAAAACGTTTCGGGTTAGTAATTTTTAATTTGGTTATTAGTGTTCTGTGAAATTACATTGTACCATAATATGGTAATAGAGAAAAAAAAAATTAGTCCGGTATTTACCAAAGTCAAGATTTGATCTGAAACACGGCGAGTTAATTTGCAATGGACGTCCGCGGCACACTATACATTACAATACTTGCTCACAATCTACATTATCTGTGCAGGTATTATTCACACACTATATCAAAAAGAACAAAAAAAAAAACACACGCAAACTAAATAATAAATACAAAAAAAAAAAAATATCAACAACAAACCAAATGACGTTTGTGTAGAACAAGAAAAAAAAATTTGCAAATCAAGTGTAATTGTATTAAGGCGAGAAAAAAAACAGGAAGTAATTTTATAAAGGTGGTGTACAATACATAATAATAATAATAATAATAATAATAATAATATTAATAATATTAATAATAATAATAATAATAATAATAATAATATTCGTAATATAATATTATTATCGCGTAGGACCGACTTATACATTTGTTGTTGTTGTTGTTGTGTTTAATTAAAAGCACTACAGTTAAACAAGATATTAGAAAAAAAAAACAATATATTTACAAAAAAAAAAAAAAAAAACATTTCCAATGTGAAATTAACTTTTCTTTGTACGATAGTTAAAACGATATCAATAATAATATGTCGTACGGTGTGAGGGTGATTAAAAAGATTAAAAAGATTTTCATAAAAAAAAAAAAAAATAAAGACGAACAATATTATATATTGTGTGGTTTCTTCGCGGGCAATTCGTAAATATTATTAATGTGTGTCAGTGTCGTCTGTGCGAGCGAGACAAAGGTAAAAACAAAAACTATAAACTGTGATGGAAGAAAAATGAAAAAATAAAAACAATAATCGTTGTACGACGATCTGCTGGCATATCAGTATAATAAAAATGTCGTCTAAAAAAATCCATGCAAACAAGTCATCGGATAGGTGTTATTATAATATATATATTATTATCTAGGTATGAGAATAAAAAATTACTCTTTGCGGGTGCCAAGATATTATATTATTGTAATAATAATATAACATTGTATAAAAAAAATAGAGGATGGGGTTGAAACAATATAACATAATATATATTATGTCGACACATAATAGATTAGAAAATATATAGAAAAGTAAAACCACAATAATATATTAACAATGAAAATAATATATTGTCATACTGAACCGTTTACCTGAACCACGGTCACGTATTGCAATATATAAAAAAAATCTAACGAGTGGAGCATGCACCGTCAGTATAAATACGAGCTAAAAACAAAATAAAACCAAAACATTTAACGGAGATAATAATAATAATAATACGTTGATGAATAAAAAATGGGATAATAATAATAATAATAATAAATGAACGAAACAATAAAATATAATATTATAATAATGTGATAAAAAACGTGAAATCAATAAATATATATATAAAGTATAATAAAAGTCGGATGAACATGAAAATGAGTCAAGCAGATGAAAGTAAAAAAGTATTACATCAATTCATAAGCATAAAAATACAACGATTCGAAGATTTTTGGACTTGTATAAAACAATGAAATAACAAAAAATTTACTCGTGGCTAGTAATTGCATCCTTGAAGTTTGCACTCCAACGCCAACCAAACTGGTAGCCGATTTAAAACACAAAAAATAAAAAACAAAAATTAATTTCTATAAAGCTTTTTTCGGGGGGTTTTTTTTTTCAAGTAATTATTTAAAAAAATTCTATTGATAAAACATGTCCCGCGATATAATATATAATTATATATATAATATAATAGTCATTTACGATAATGCATAATATATTGCGTAAGTATGTATGTATATATATATATTATAATATAGTATAATAATAATAATTACGTTACGAAAATGTAAAATGCAAAATAAACGTTAAAACACATTGGAAATGCATTATAATAATAATAATAATAATAATAATATATATAATATGTTTAGTTGTACACACGTTAGTAAAATAAAATATATTAACTAAGTTTTCGTAAAAAGCAAGTTTAACTAAAACAATAAATATTATTGAATAATAATAATAATAATAATAATAATAAAAAAAAAAGAACAAAGCTATATGTTTCTGTAAAACTCCGCGAGTCCGGCAAAACTCGCGGGGTGGAAAATACGAATATGAAAACTATATAATAATATATTATTATTGTATGACAAGAGGACCCTCCTCGACAGAACGAGATATAATGTATTATAATAATGTCGTTATTATTATTATTTCTTTGTTTTTTTTTTTGTTTGCAGCCTAACCAAAGAAAAATCGAAAAATAAATTCGACACTTGTCGTGTCACCGATGTAATACCTTGGCGGACGATGTGGGCGTGATCGGCGGAGTGTTGTCTTCGTTGGTGGGCGACAGTCTGGCGTCGGGCAGACGTTGTTCCTGAACGGAAGCGAGCCTGAAAAACATAACGTTTGTACACCGAGTCGGTTAGAACTAATATAAATAATATACGTCACGGAAAGCAAAATTAGGCAGGTAAGTAGTAGGTGGTAGGCATAATAATATTGTAAAACTTTATCTCGACAAGTTGTCAAATTGTTTTAAACGGCGTGAATTTTTTTCCACCTGTTATGCTAGTATCGTCCGCACAGCAAAATCTCGCGTGAAGTAAAAACAATCTGTGAAGCGGTCACTGACTTGAAAAAAAAAACCCGTAAACTATCTCCTGGACACGATAAAAGTGATAGTTTTATATGATATCAAAATATAAAGATATAATGCAATATATTAGTATATGTTTACACTGTGTGCGCAGCGTTTGATTCAGCTCATCCCCGTTTTTTCTTTGATAACGAAATTATTCAAATTCTGATTTTTGGAATTTTAAAATATATACTCAAAGACTACGTGTTCAAATTCATTTTTCGTGCCACTTAGGAGTGTCCTGTGGCGATACAAACTTCTGTTTTTCAAATGAGAACCCACCTAAATTTGTTGACTGTAAATTATTTACTGGACATTTTTTTTGAAAAATGTTGATGTACCCAATTCAAAATTCGGACGAGTAATTCCTCAGTTATTAAAATCCTTATTCTAAGGATAATATAGTCCTAGAAATCATATTTACAAAAGTATCAAATTTAGTCATAATATAGATGTACTAAATATTGCTTATTGCGGATCTAGTATCAATTGGACCATTTTAGCAAATTATTAATTACGGTAAGTTAATAATATAAATCACCAACATTTTAAAATTTTCCAAACCCATTACCATGAACCTATTATCCTTAGTACACAAAGCTTAGAAGATTTATTTTTTCGTATCAGAATCATAATTCAGTAAGTAGTTTTTGAGTAATTTCACTTTGTGTACTAAGGATAATAGGTCCATGGTAATGGGTTTGGAAGATTTTAGAATCTAAATAGTTTACAGTAAAAAGTGGTTTCTCATTTGGAAAAAAAAAGTTTGTATCGCCTCTCCTCAAGAGGAACAAAAAATCTCAATAATTTGAAAATATATGATATTCAAGTACTTATATTTAATGATTCAAAAATATAGATTTTGAATAACTGAATTATTATAGAAAAAAGGGGATTAGCATGCAGTGTAAATTCAGTGTAAATCGAAAAATTTAAAACCTTGTTAAAATTCATTCGGGTTTTCCCGTCGAATCTATGCGTCGAAAAAAAAATTGAATTTTTACCGATGATGTTACCGATTTGTAAGTGGACGACCTCATTGAAATTCAACCGTACGCATAATGTGATGGTATAGTAAGTTCAGTTGCAATATGACAATATAAATTTATACTTAGGGGATGCTACTGATGCGTTTGTTGTCTCTGTCTTACTACAAACACAAACGTACGACATTGCAAATTTTCGTTCACCAATTGTTTCAATAGCTATGTTATATTAGAGTGAATTGATCTACCTTTAAGTAAGGCACGTTATCTGTGCTCAAATGTTGGATTTTAATACATTTTATTCGATACCTATTTTAATTTTCCACCAAGATATTATGAGCATTCTTAATTTGTGATATTATTCACATACCCGCATATTATATCTCGCTTGAAAATTAAAATATCGAAAAAATCGCTCACAGGTTGTGCACAGGTAATGTTTTTACCCAAAAGTTTGATAATAGGTCAATAAATCACTGTAGTATCAAAACTAACAGCACACCATTGAAACCGGTGAAAGAAAATTTGCCGTGTCGACAACAATTTGTCAATGAGTGGGTGGCGTCCTCTCAGTGTATGTGAAACAATATTATTATTATTACAACATGAAAACACGTTCATAATACTATATTGACGATGGACATTTTTTAGGATAATTATTTTTGTAGTATTTATTAATTATCAAAAGAAGACGTATTCAATACGTAATAATTATATTATATATTATGTGGGTACAATAATGTTCTATGCATTGTATAATGCATTACCGTATATTACGACAATGATTATTTACCTCTTGAGTGTTACAAGCGTTCCGGTTAATTTTTTACACCGTTTGAGGGCGCTTTCTAGACGATCGGGCTCTTCTTTGAGAAACCTATATACATGTACACAGGAGAAGACGAAAACTTGCATTATTACATTAGGTACACATTATTAATATTGAATCAGTCAATTACTTTTCCTCGGTAACCGCTCTGTCCATTTCCTTCGTCAATACCGTACGAATCGACTCTTGTAAACTCGGGAACCTCAATTTCAATTCGGCAACCGTTTTACTACACAAGAACGTATAAATAAGAAAACCAAGATAAATTATAAATGATAATAAATTGTATATTATACGGGGTGATCGATTCAACGCTATAGACGTTCGCGTTATTACGGAAAACACTATCGTTTTCGAAAAGAAATTTTCTTTTACGTATATTGTATTGAGTATATTGTTACGAAACAACATTTTTTGGAAAAAATATATTTTACTATTCACTGCAGTCGTTATCGTTTTTCAAGTTTTTACTTTTTTGAACGACAACGTACATTATTAATGTCACATTTCTAAGCAGAATATCATTCGGAGTATTTCGATCTAAACAAAAATCATATTTTTCACAATAGTTGTTCATTGGTTATAGATTATAAGTATTTAAAATGTATTTGATGTGTGGGAAAGTATTGCGGACCTTTCATCAAAACCTTAAATAAACTATTATTGATTTGTATACATATAGAACTACTCCGAAAAAAAATTCTGCTTTAGAATAAGGAATTCAAAATGCACGTTGTCATTGACGAAGCAAAACATTCAAGAGAATAAATGTACCTATGCCTATATAAATATAGTTAAAAAATATATTTTTTTTGATAAACTTTGACTTGACTTTTTTTTGACTTGGAATTATGTAAAAAAAAAATATTTTCAAAAATACACTAATAATTGGTTTTCGAAACGACCAGTGTCCTGCGATAAATGGATCACCCGGTATGTTGATATATCTCATATACTTATCGCGTATCGAGTACCGTACCCATATACAGCGTGCAGATCTATACTTAATATAGTAGAAAATTGACGTTCAGACGAAATTGCGTCGAAAAGCAATTTGCCCGTATGTGCAGGGGGAGGGACGAAAATGAGGAAAAATGAATTAGTGTTCGCATTAGGTTTCCATAATAATGTGTTGCGAACGGGATTCGCCGACGGGTTGGGCGTGGGTGTCGGGAGGTTGGAGGGGGGGGGGTAAGGTAGGAGGTCGAAGGAAAACTCGACGTCGTAATGATTTTGGCTTGGATATACGAAATACTCGTGTCGGCCGTGATATACATTTCGGATAATATTGTACCTGGATTTGCTGAGCACAAGCGCCATGTTTTCCACGTCCGACATGTTTACCCTGGACTTCTTGTTAATGACGTTTCCCCGTAGTTCTTCCACCGTGCTCTCGAGCTCCCTGCGCCAACACACGCGGAAAAACAAACAAGGTCCATTAGAGGAAAATTCGGCGGCCAAAAACGATACATTCCGAACACGTATTCGATCGATCGCCGAATTATAGACTTATTATAACCACACACACATAAAAAAATATACCGTACCGCGTGAATCCGCTATAATTATTATTATTATTATTATTATTTTCATTATTATACACGGCTGGTATAATAAATATTTAAGTATACCTATACGGTGTATGAGGTAAATATACGGCTAAGCCATTTGAGATAAAATATAGGAGCGTCGTAATGACGTCATTTAAAATAATATACAGAGCGATTGCGACAGGGCATGCTCACCCGAATTTTTTCATTTAATGACGAATTTATTCGGATTGCGATTTTTAAAATACACTAAATGACCACATTACAAATTTCTGAGATTTTTGTAGGTATTACCTAAAGAGCGTGGCGATACAAATTTCTGTTTTTCAAATGAGAACCCCTCTTTTTTACAGTTAAGTATTTGGTAGATGGTTTAAAAAAAAATGTTTGAGGTACTTCGGTATCAAACAGAAGTTTGTACTTCCGTAGGACACTCCTTAATAGTGATACAAAAATGTCGAGGATTTGAAAACATGGTCTTTAAGTAGGCATATTAAAAAAAAATTTCAAAAATTATAATTTTAACCACTCCATATTATATAGACGATGAAAAAACTGTGGTGAGCTTCTTTGGTGAATCACTCTGTATATAAAATATATGTATCGTAAAGATTAAAAAACACGTCTTTAGAATTATTAAACGGTACCTATATTTAAATATCGTTAAAATACACAAATCTTTCTGCCACATATTTTATACCGTGGTACAAACTGATTGTTGTAGAGCGATTCTTTTTTCAGACATCATGTCATTATGACTTCTCAAAGTTGAGGAATATGGAGGAATCGATTGATGTGTGAAAAAAGAATCACATTATACAGTGAAACCTCGATAACTCGAATCGGTTGGGGGTGAAAAAAAAATTCGAGTTTTTGAAAATTCGAGTTTTAGAAAATTCGAGTTATAGAAAAATCGAGTTATAGAAAAATCTGTGTGTACTTATTGAAATGAAGGGGAGAAGCGATATTCCCTCGAGTTATCGAAAATTCGACTTATAGACGTTCGAGTTATCGAGGTTTCACTGTACTGCAACAACAACGTACAATGGACTGCACGCAAGTCTAACCATACGTATTGTTGGCATATTATAATATGATAACATTCGGGATTTCCGGCTAAGAAACAACGATATTTAGAGGTACTTCCGCGTGAACTGAGTGCGCACAGTTAAGTCATTATATTGTACATAATATTATATTATTACTTTGTGTGCATGTGTAAAATTACCAAAATCATGTTCGCCAACAACTGTTAACGGGAGTTTTCGGACGATATTATAATAACATCGCGCGACTGTAACGAGTCACCGCGGTGTGAAAAAAAAAAATTGCATTCTCGTACGAATCGTTAACTGTTGTTTGTTTGTTATATTTATTTGTCTACGACGGTCGTCTTATTATAATATGTATAACAGCATACAGAGTGATCCATTTAACGCAACACTCGTTAGTTAGAGGTACTTCGGAAAACACACTAACGTTTTAGAAAATATTTCGTTTACATAATTTTTTAGCACAATATTATTTGGAGTATTTCTATCTATAAACACAAAATTTTTTGCCCGTAGATTATTACTTATCAGTTATGAACTATAAGACATACCTAATAGTAATTAATGTTTTTAAATACTCGTAATAGTCATAGCTGATAAATTACTGTTGCAAAATTTGAATTTTGTATAATATCGAAGTACTCAAATTAATATTCTGCTTTGGAATGAGGAATTAAAAATGAGTGTTGTCATTTTACATTTTTAAGAAAAAAACAATTACGATAAAATTGTAAAAATGTTCTGAGCTTTAAAATTATGTAATAAAAATATTTTCAAAAACGTTAGTAATTCAATAATGAATGTTACGTTAAATGTATCATTCGGTATAATATACCATATTCAGGCATATGAAGGGTAATTCACCAAGCAGGCTCATCCCCTTTTTTTTTTCAATAATGGAGTTTATTAAAATCTGATTTCTGGAATTTTTATAATATAATATATTTAAAGATTTTTCTAATTCCTGAGATTTTTATAATACTACTTAAGTAGTGTCCTGTGGAAATACAAATTTGGGTTTTTCAAACGAAAACCGGCCACACTATTAACTCGTACGTCATTATTCAGTGGATCACTTTACTGTAAATTATTCAATGGGTTATTTTTCAGAAAAATTTCAGGACTCCTTAAAAAAAAATCAAGAATTTGAAAAATTTGGCTGAGTATGATATTTAAAAACTCCGAAAGTCAGAGTTTAAATAAATTCTTGGCGAATCACCCTGTATATGAATATAATAATAATAATAATAATAATAATAATGCTATTAATGAGATTATATTATGTATAAAATGTGTGTGCGATGTCGCCGGGCGTTACGCAACGCGATGCGATTTTCGTCAAACGTTCATATTATTATTATTATCGTCGTCGTTATATTATATTATCATTGTCACTTACGTCAAGTCCGTTTCCAGCCTGATAATCTCCTGTCTGTATATGTCCTCTTCCCGGTCCACGTGTGCCCTTTCCTTCGATCCGGATTCGCTCCACGCCTGGTCGGCGCCGGAAGCGATCAACGTTCTAGATATGACATACAAAATAGCTACGTTGTATCCAGCACGATCGAACATTATTACGACGTACCTAGGTACATTTTAATATACCCGGGTATACCTATATAATATTATAATATGTTGGCGCACGCGGCGGCCGACAAAAATCTTCACGAGTTCGCTGATCGTTCGTCGTTACATTATATCATATTACTATACACGCCTCTATTTTAAACGTAGGTTAAACCTACCTGTTGATATATTATTATTACGAACGCGATTAAACCCGCGAGTATTTCGTGACCGTTTATACATTTTTTTCCGCCGAAAAACATTGTTTTCACAAACGGACGTTATGATTTAATATCATATCATATAACATAATGATAAACGAAAAAAATAATAAATTGCCGAATTCGATACACAAATATTATATTATAATGCAACAGGTGCGTGCGTACAACGGGCGTCAGCATCGCGATATTATCGTTAGACAATAACAATATTATATTGTAAAGCAAAACACGACCGAGACAGCTCGAAATCGCCAAGTAACGTTTTCGAAAGATAGCTAATCCGTCTACGCAGCTCGGGGATACATGGTTTTCCCTTCGAATATGCGTGAATAATAATAATACATTTGGATGATCCATTTAACAACTCGTTTTTGAAAAATTTTTACACGATTTTTAAGTCGTTAAAAACAACGCAGAAAACGCAGAAAAAAAAAATATTAAAATTATATACTTGCCAATTCCAAACCAGAACAAAGTTCGTACTGTTTCGGACAAGTAGCTGCCTATGAGCCATCCCGAGTTTTTAAAGTTATTATAGGTACTACTCGTCCAAAAAGTAATTTTTATTGATCGAAATATTTGGATTAATATTATATTCTGTTTCGGAATATGAAATAAAAAATATGTGTTAAAAGAGTACAAAACTTGGATGGAATAGTAAAAATATATTTTTTTTCCCGAAAACGTTGTTTTGTGACGACTTTCCGCAATAATTGTGTAAAAGAAAAAAAATGTTATCAAAAACGTCAGTTTTTTATGAAATAATGACGACGAGCGTCTTCCATAAAACGGATCACCGCGGTGTTGGAAAAGTTTCGATTTACGCAGACAATTTTATAATTATTTAATTTCGGATAGATCATAAATATTATAATGTTAAATAACGAGTGAAATGTACCTTATTTTTATGAACGTGTCTTTGATGGTCTCGCGAATGGAGTGGGCCTGCGCCTGAGACATTCTCCTCAGGTTTCGGGCTTCTTGCCGCAAGTCTTTTGCCTTTTTCTGCAGAACTCTCAGTTGGTTGTACATTTCCGGCGTCAGCTGTAAATCTGAAACGACAACAACAGAAATTATTCATCGTTCACACGCTTACGCTTTTTGTCGGATATCGCCAATGCACAATATATTATATTTATGCATTACATAAATCATTGACCAACATGGACTTACCGCTGTACAAGTGTCTGTCGTCGTATTGTCCGGGTATGGCGGACGGCTTGGGCGGAGGATGAGGTTTGAATCTGTCTTTTTCTAAAATCAATCACAACGTGTAATTAGAAAAAAAAACCGGTAGGTAGACGAATGGGGACGCAATGATATGGAATTACGCGGTAATGAGAATATAAAAAAATAATAATAAATACACGTTATATTGGTTTTCTAAAACGAGAACCTCGCTCGCGATACCGTCAAAACAACGACGACTGAAGACTACCTACGGGTAAACAAATAAGATGAAACGTTTTCACAAAACAATTCACAGCAGCGTCGGTCGATGTATAAACGACGACGTAAAAAATGTTTATTCATATGTCTGGTGCTTTGTTAAGAAATACAATTTAATACCATTTAAAATATGCGTCAACATATATATATACCTACATCACATCCAGCGATTCGGGCTTTCCAAAATCGAATCAAGTCACTCGAAAAACCGAAACGAAGACTCGACTAATGAGATTTCGGGAGAGACAAACGGATTTCAGTTTTTTCCGAGTTTGGCGGAGATCAGATCAAAAGGGTTCTGCTTAAACGATTATATTGCGTTGAAAAATACGAACAGTCTGCAGACGGGACACTGATATATAGGTACATTTTCTGTAACTTAAATTCGTATTTTAGAAACGAGGTAGAAACGTAACGTTATTATTAAGTACCCACCTACTACATTTTACATTAAATTTTAATGTATTTTTAAGAACACACACTTTACGGCGCTTCAATACAAATAACGACGATTTAAGTGATTGCAATTTTATTTTTTCATTTGAAGAAATACTAGAAGACGCATTTAATTGTTTATAAAAAAAAAAAAAACCCACAAATCAATAGCAACATGAAAAATATATTTTATTGTTCGAAAGATATTGTCATTGTTCTTGCCAGCGGGTAGGATTTCTCCAGCATATTATTTTTTTATGTTCATGAAATCCATTACTTATAAACGTCTAAGTTTGTTGTTTACTTTTGTCGGTGTTTTCATTACTGCAATCGTATTTTCCGTACGACCATAGGAAATATTTGGAAATCACATAATATTTTTTTTTCCGACCGAAATATGAAATAAAATACCTACCTACTCTGTGGCCCCTAATAATATAGAAACACATAATATACAATAATATTATATTCGTCATAATAATACATTAGGTATACGATCTATGAATGTTATTATTGGAACATTTAACAGCGAATTCGTGATGAATTATTGGAACATGCGCGATGTGACAATATATTATAATCGCAACCAGAAGAATAAAAAATAGAAAATCATAAATTATTTTTCCCATCATAATCGTAGGTAGGCTCAGAGGGCGCAAATGTGCGTTGGCAGCACAATAGCAAACGCCACCTTGGCATTTTTAAAAAAAAAAAAGATGTATTTAAGAGTCGATTGTATTTTAGAGAATATTTTAGAAAGGAATCGGTTCTACAGCCTGCTTATAAATATGCATCACAACATAGCTTAATATTTCCTTGAGTACCTGTCGCGAAACATGCGATCGAAATATACTGTTAAAACGACAGAAACATCTGTGAGTGTTGTTCAGTCTGCAGATTCGGAGGGGTTTTAGATTTACAGTGAACTAAAATTATTGTTGTGAATTTTGATCAAAGAACAAAATAGTAATAAGTCGATTAAAAACACGATAAAATTCCCAGAAAGACAGTATACTCGAGTGATAGTCAACGAAGATGAAAATTAAATTGTATTTTGCAGTGCTATAATGAAATAAAATATCATAAGCATGCAAAAAAATGTGGAAAAAAAAATACAACAATAATGTAAAAGTCTCGAAATTAAAAAATCGTCTTTCCGGGTGTGATCAAAGTAATTGCGTTGGGATTTTTAGTAATAATATTATTGATGTTTGCTAAAAAAAAAAAAAATAATAATAGGACAATACTTGCTGATTTGAAGTGTCACCTACCTACTAGTAAATATAATGAAAAAAATATCAAGGACTCTTACAGAAAATAAAATATTATTGTACTATATTTTTAGTATCATAATAATTATTCATTATTATTAATTTGTTTCTGTCGTGTGTTTTAATTAGTATCAATACCCATATGATACCTAAACATAATTCAATATTTTCTTTTAAACCGATTGATTTAAACCGTGCAAAAATCAGATTTCGTTGCGGTATCAGTTGAATAGAGTAAAAGGGCGTTTCGGGTAAACTTTTATTTATAAACAAAAGGAAACTGGACACGAATCGGTATCGTGCACTATACACTTGAAGCCGAGAAGTCTGCGACGGAGACCTAAGGACTAAATACGAACTAATCTGTCGGTCGTCATAAAGAAATGGACTTATAACGACACACACGAGTCTACGCGCACTCAAATAAGACGAAAATATCGTATATATAGTATAGTGAAACTACGTTTTCTATAAAAATGAAAAACTACAAAAGTATACAGAATAATATCGCGTGTAAGCCTCGGAGGACGGGTTTCTATATATTTTATGTCGTTAGATATTTGAAAGCAATCTGATGGGCGCATTGTTGAAATTGAAATATTACAACGATTAACGAATTTCATGGAAAATCAAACCGCGGGGAATTATTTAAAAACTATTTTTTTTTTTTTATACAACCGTGTTCGAGAATAATAATAAAAAAAAAAAAAAACAACTGGCATTGAATGAAAATCGTTAAGCTTTTGTACTCGAAAAAGTGCCTACCGAAATAAAAGCACACACAACAATAGGCATATATATATAGTATTATTATAAAATCAAAATATATATTGCTCTCGCTGTCTGTATATATCGTTTCATTCAGAAATCGCCATAAAGAGAGGCGATTTTTCCGAGGTGACGAGCCTAAAATGATATGATAAATTATTGTGCAAGTTGTGATAATTTCAGACAACTATTATTTGTGTGTGTGTGAAGTGTGAATAATTCGAAGTATGTATGCGCAGTAGGTATAATAATATGTGTGCAGCAAAGCGCAGTGAACGATAAATGTCCGGTTAATTGATTTTCATCTCCCGTGACATGTGAATAAATGTGTAATTTTTTTGGTTTTTTTTTTTAATGTTTACCTTGAGACGCTGTTCTAGGTAATGTAGACGATTTAATTGCCGGTTTCGCAGGTTTCGTGTCCGCTATAAGGTAAGCAACGGAATACAACAACAATAACACAAAACAATAATAATATATTATAATATAGTCCACACTGTGCTTTCGTTATTATTTAATGATTATAATAATAGTGAGTACTGTTATTACGAATAATAATAAAAAAAAAAAATCCTAAATATAATTAGTCAATATATATATATATATATATATATGTATATGTTACCGGCAATGCGATTGACTTGGTTTTAGTGTAATAATTATTTGTGCGATATTCAGGAGTTGTACAAACTTTAGAATAATTAATGAAAAGGGCTAAACGATTTGATTTTTCAAGTTAAAACGTACGAGGAGATGTCTGTTAAACATAAAATATAAACAATAATTATTGTTTCGTATGACATTGTAATCGACCGTGAACAATACATGTTAAGAAGAAGAGCAATTCCTTTAATATAATTACTATTGCTAGTTGTACGAAAATACAATTACCACCGAAATTAGAGCTCTTGTTCGTACTCTTTATATATAATAGCAACTATAGCACTGCGCCTCTACGACGCTCGTTAAACAATGTAAATTTAACACTCAACCGTCACACATACATAAACAATTGATAACAATGAAATAGGAGTGATTTATCATAATTATTATTATTACACCTTTCCGATGAAATTGAATTCCATAAATGTATTGCGGGAGTCTGGTCGGCTATATATTTCTTTTTTATATACAATAATCTAATTTCACGGTCGTCAAAAATGTATTTCGATTTTTACAATAAAAAAATAATATCATATTTTAATAATTAAGCGGCGACTGCAGAATCCTACAAGTCATATCACTCTGCCAACCATGACGTCATATCACTTATCGCAGTAGGTACCTACATCCCGAAGTAAAAATAATAATTGTCTAGCAGTATTATTATTGGGTATTCTGCAGATTGCCCGCCAAATAACATATACCGGTTGGAAATATATAATTTAAACGGCCTGAACGAATTCAGCTGATTTCCAAGTCTAGATTTAATTGGTAATTTTTCCCCTATTATTATTATTATTATTACATCTCTGGCCGTTCTCTATATAATATACCTCCTCAGCTGTCGATGAAAGTGCATCAATATGATGCAGTACCGGAGGATTGATGATCGTTTTATTTCTATTACATAGCATATTAACGTGTACATGACTTGGCTTACGCTCGTCATCATTCATCATTAACATACATCTACCTACCTATACCATAATATTGAATTCCTCGCGAACGTGATCGATTTATTATTATATTCATAATTATAGTATACACAAAAATTACGAACACGCACCACTATTGAACATATTATTATAAGACCACATAGACATTCATACTATTGCCGGTAACATATTGTATTACATAAATTATATTAAAATTTATACTATAATATTATATATATATATAATATTTGTGTGTTTGTGTGTGTGTGTGAGGTATATGTACACGAGTATTCGTCTCTCTAACAAGTCTGTGAGAAATAATTTTTATACTTAATATTCATACACAGGGTGTAACAGATAGAACTGACCGTTGGAATAAGTTTTGCTATCAATATTTAAAATTTTTTTATATATAATTTATAGTCACGTACGCTACACATATATTATACAAAAAATTATTTTTATTTTTTAACACTGAAGATAAAAAAAAAAATAAAAAATTTGGATATATTCAAAGTAGCAAATTTATGAATCTGGTTATAAGAACAATTTTGATAGTTGAAACATTTATCTAAGCCAAGTGGTTTATTTTTTAGAATTTTTTGAAATATCAATATTTTTTTAATAATAATTTTGTTGAGTAATAAGTATAATAACTTAGTGCCTCATAACTTTCTTCAAAATATTTTTTTTGGGAACTCGCTGACGTGAGTATATTTCCTAAATGTTTTACTTATCATATAATTTTAACAATTTTTGTCGTAGGTACGTTTAAGTAGCATAATTTTATTTTTTCCGTCAAGTCTTTCTGTTACACCTCGTATATATACAGGGTGATTTACAAAGATATATTCTGACACAAGTAAAATGTGTGATTTCGGTGTAAGACCATCGGACCATTTCGATATACACCCTGTATATATGTATGCAATGTCTTCGCGAAGGGAAACGGCGGTATCGTACCGTCGTGTGATCGACGAAAAATCTAAATTATTGACCCACCTGAACTCTGTGGCGAATGTTGTTTCGGCGAGTTCATGTCCGGTGGCTCGTCGCTGAACGATACAGATTTCTCAAACGAAACCGATTTGTCTGCAACGTTAATATAGTACATCCAACGTGTTAATGGTTATATACAAAGTCGACAGCGATAAGGTTAAATATAATATGATAGTAATAATAGTCATAATCAGGGCTGTGAATTCAATGCACTAAAAAACCTTAAAAAATTTCCAAAAAAAAAAAAAATGCAATAAAATATGCACTTAAAATACAAAAAATGCGATATAAAATTCACTTAAAATGTGGTATTCAATTAAATTTTTATATCGATATCGATATTATAGGATATTAGTACATTACATCAATTTACATAACGTGTTTATTTAATAAAGAAAAAAAGATAATAATAAAAATTACCTACTAAAATTATTAATCAATCAACTTAATCTGGAAATACGATATATACGATATGCCACAAATAACTTGTCTAGTTATCTAGCAATATTGCCTTATTTTATCGACGTTTTTTAAACATGTCAAATGACGAAATCTGATTAAAAATACCGGAAAATGAACTAAAAAAAGGAACATATGACCTAAAAATGCAAAATAAAAGTTTCATAAATGGATTTGTAGTTGCATAATTCAAATTATGTACGTACCTACAAAGCTACGTCTCACAAGCACCAAAAAAAAAAAAAAAATGCAATTTCCTAGTTTCCTACAAATTCACAGCCCTAGTCATAATCATAACACAATAACAGTATTAAAATAATTTTTCGTTATAAAACTGTAAACTATGTAAAATAATAATATGTCAATAAGCGCAGCAAAAATATTATATCACATAACGATTATCATTACGTCATCGCAAATTTGGCCAAAGCAATTAATATTTTATTATGTCACTTTATGCGAGAACTCTCAGCTCTAACAATAATAATATGTCATTAAATATAATAATAATATAATATAGCGTATTCGTTTATTTCTTAGAAGCACTATACTTTCGATGGTTAAGAGACACGACGACGGTGGGTCGTCAAGTATCTCCTACTGAAATTCAAAAAGAAAAGAAAAAAAACTATAATATAATAAGTGTATCAAGTCGTTCAAATAATAATAATATAATATTATGTAACGCACAAGCAGCTCTTAAAATATAGTTCGACCTAAAAATATGTATACTAATTCACTTTGCAGTTATTTGCGCCAAACAAGAAAACCTCGGAAAGCCGTAAAATATTACCTTACCTTTTTGAGTGTTGCACGTCGTATGCATTCAACGCGCGAGATTCAAATTGAATTAGTAAATGGATGACAGGTAAGAGGTGATCAAATATTTACACGAAACCCAAGACATTCGATAGGGCGGAAAGCAAATACAATATATATAATATAAACCAGCCGAAAGGCTGTCAATAAGCAGATATAGTATATATAACAATTTCAAAACAAAATACGAACAGTAGGTATATAGTAGTAGTAAATACAAACGAAAAACAGTGTACTATAAAAAACAAACAAAGGTATAATAGGTACCTACTTTATGCATTAGCGTTAAGTGTTATTATATAATATCATACGTATAATATATAAGAATGAAAATAATTGTGTATAGCTAACCTCGTCCGAGTTTGGGAGGTTTAGTGTCAGACCGCTTGTATGGTTCCTCTACAAAGCATATATATCATACTCGGATAAGAATATATTCTAAATATTATCGGTTATAACTTGTAAATAGGGTGTACAATAGATAGGTAGCATAAACGTTTACACGGAGGCGATGTCAGCTGTTGGGCATCGTTCGCGTATGGGAAGAGTTGATGGTTTTTAATTGCAAGTGTTATTTTTTTTTTTAGAGATTAAAAAAAAAAAAAACGAGTTACAATAATAATAGTGTTAGTAGGTTAAGGTATAGGTACAACAAGAATAACAATAGGAGGGTTGGGGCTTTGATCCAATATAGAAGCCGTTGGAGAATCTATATGTATATATTATATTACAGGATACCACTACCAGTGTTAGAGAACTGCAATAAAAATCGTATATAAACGGGTTGGAAAATAGACAACGTACCTGCTAGAGACGTGGTGCTTCCGCCGGAGACTTTATCGAACTCATCACTAGCTGAATCGTAATAATGAAAAAAAAGATAAGTGTTAGAAAACGGGTATTTTAAAACGTCAAAAACCAAGCAAAATCGTGTCAACACGGTCAAATTAAATATGTGTGAATAAGGTATATATATATAGGTATAGTACCTACATAATAGTAATATAATATCATATTGACTGCAGACAGATATTAGTAGGTAATAAATGTTCAGTAATATTATAAAGATGTGATATGAAACAGATGATAATATATGAACAGGTTTGGGGTAATAGTAGCAATATATGGATATAATATAATGTGAGTGCGCATGTATTAATCGCATAATATGATATATATATATATATTATTATATACAGTGTGATTCACCGAGCAAGCTCATGCCCTTATATTTTACCCTTGAGTTCGTATTAAAATTCTGATTTTTCAAATTTTTGAATAACTTATAAGTAAGTTCCATAATATTTGCAAATACACTATTGGGTTTTTACACTGTTCAAGGATTGTCGTTAAATGAATGAAATATTCAAATACGAGTGAAAGCTTCTTAAAAACCACAATTTTTACTGTAAATTAGTTATCAGGTGATTTTTCCTCTAAAATGTTGACGCATCTAAATCGAAATTCAAACGAGCAATAATCTTATTGTTGTTAAACCAACTAAGGAAAATTATATAGACCATGATAATGGTTTTTCATACAACTCGAAATACACATTATGTAACATTTATTCGAGGCATTAAATAAAATAATATATTAATTGATACAATTTTCAAAATAACGTCATAGCCCCCATATATTATTAATAATAATATATGGGACTATGAAATTTTCAAAAATGTTGTATTAAAAGATTTGTATTTTTTTTTAAGTTCTCCATTAGTTTTTTAAGAGTAACTTTAAATGATCTAAAATATTTATGTATGATTTTAGTTGTTTTTTTTATTTGTATTCTCTTTTTTAAGTTTCCTAAATGTTTTCGATTGATTTAAATGATTTGAAATACAGAGCAGTGAATATAATCATTTTTTTTTGTTTTTGTTAACATTTTTAGAATTTTCTTTGGTATAGTAGTGTGGTTTTTTTTTTAAAAAAAAAACACATTTTATAAAGTGTAACATAATGCATATAATTGCATATTTAGCCACTTTTTCTTTGCATATTTGCATCATATTTGACACTTTTTAAATGCATATAAATCCGGGCTCTAATTATTATCTTCTATGCCTTAGTAGTTTAATAACTCAGAAACTATACTATGCCTAGTATTTTATTTTATATTCATCAACATATTTTTCTAAAAATCACCTGTTCAGCAGCTCACGAGGTGGATCTCGTTGGAAAGAGAAGAGTGTATGGCAACAGAATAACACTCCCCGTGTCGGATGAAAAAAATTGTTGATATTTGAAAACATTGTCTTTAGGCGTAAGTAAACAAAAGTCGCAAAAAAAAAAAAAATTATAGAATTTGAATACATATTTGAATACATATTTATTATCAAAGGAACAAATGGGCATGTGCATGCTTTGTGAATTACCGTGTACATGGGTGAAGTGTGTATACATTGGGTATATAATAATATGTATGATGTGTATACGACTTTTAGAGTGGGTGCTTCAATGCCTACATGAAAATAGTTGTCTATAGAAAAATGAAATATGAATAGAAAAAAAAAAACAAAAATATGATAAAGTAAAAGTTCAGCTAATTGCCGAAAACAAAATATTAATAAAAACTATACAGGGCGTTAAAATAATCGGTTTATATACTTTTTATACAATATTGATTCATTGCAGGTGTGTACAAATCAGATATTTACCATTTCTGAACGGTTGTGCCACGACCGGTGCGTGTGTCAAAGCTTTCTGAACTAATCCCGTTAGGTTAGCGATCTGTCTCTCCATGTTTTCCACTCGTATCCTGCAAAATCATTAACATATTATGATGTATTATTAAACACGATTTTTTCGGCTATATTTCCAGTCGTGCATAACAGTAAATTATAACAGTAAATAAAAATAATAATAATAATAATGATAAAACCAAATAATTGACTAAAGAAAAAAAAATAATTGTTTGAAACATGCATAATATGGCTGATTTACTATATATTATGTAATAGTTGGAATTGTAACTTCAGGGATATGTGAGCCACTATATAATATGTCGCAAGATCAATAACAGGTGCCCCATCAAATATTTAAAAACATTTTTCAGGAACTCTTTGGAAATATTTAAAAAGGGTACCTCTACTATACATAATATTATGTTCTATAATTGGTAATGGACCAAAAAAAAGAATTAACAAAAAAAATTCTACTTATCCTCGGATAACACAATATAGTACCTGTATAAAAAGTGTATTTTTTGGACTTTGTACATGGTCGATTGTAATAAATAAAAAAACACAGTATTTTATGAAATATTATAATAATGTACATGATAATATATTAATATATCTATATATTTCCCTGACAGCAATTTGTTGTTTAAAAATATTATTATAACATTGTATAATACTAGTATAAAGTTATTATAATAATATTATAATATTATCATTACAAAATGCTGTCCGGGTTATAACAATATTATGCGTATGGATGAATTATAGATCGTATCAAGTCCGATATAAACGAGTTTGGAAAATACTCGTTTTAAATCTTATGACATAAATTGCGGTACCTTTTTTTTATAAGTAGGTACCTATGGTCTCTGTGATGTTAGACGAGTTAATTTTCGAATAACGCATCTACCTCCTACTTGAATTCTAATAAAATAATTAGGTTATATACCGTTATCCGAATTGAACTTAAATATATAATTGACATCCTTAATGTTGCTGTACAGAATTTTTGGTGCACCGATTAACGGAATTTGAGAATTTTAAAATATTACACCGACAATAATATATAATATAGGAAACAGTTAGTCCACTTGACGAGGAATCTCGGCGAAGACATGATATATTCTACCAGTTATCAGTGTGTGTAGTAGTACCTTAGCATATTATTATAAACATAATAATACCACCGATGTGATTGTTTCAGTTCCGGGGGACTTATTTATTAAAATTGTATTCCTATACAGGGTGCAACAGACAAATACCTGAAAATGAAATAATTTTAGCCCTAATCAGTATTTAAACTTAAAAAAAAAAAATTCATAGTACAAGCACAGTATTATGTTAGTATAACATTTTTTCCAGATATTGATAGTTAAAACATTTATTTAAGTCAAGGAAAGCAGTTTATTTTTTAAAATATAATTAATGTTTTACTAGAGCAACTAAATTAATTTGAAACGTTAATTTGTAACGTTTTCATAATTTTTGTTATATTATGTTTAACTAGCATACAATTTGTTTTTAATTCCCTGTATATACCGTAGAATGGGGTAACTTTGATTTCGTGGAGTAACTTTGATAATATGATATTTTTATTCACCATAGTACCACGACAATTTAATATTTTTTTCATAAAATGGGGTAACTTAGATAACACATTACAAAATGCTGGTATCAAAGTTGCCCAAAACGTGGTGTAACTTTGATAGCATTTTAAAAAGATTAATATCTCAGAAGATAACATCAGAAATTAAAAAATTTAAATGTTAAACAATTGAGATTTGAGGATAATTAGTTATAACTAAGATTTAATTTTTGGAATTTTATAGTTAATACTACAGAAGTTATCCATAAAATAAAAAGTAAAATTGTAATAAAACGGTACAAATTTATCAAAGTTACCCCATTTTACTGTATGCAGAGTGCAACAGAAAGAACTGACAGATGCATTATTAACTTGGAAAGTACCTGATAACTTTTTTTTTTTTATGATTTAATCATTTTAATTGTATCTTAATACATCGTGCGTTAAAATAGATAAGAATAATAAATATTGATAACAGAAGATATTACATAATATTGTTATGTGCCTATAGCTGCTGGGTATAGATCAAACGTGCATCAAACGTTACAGCCTGTACCTATATACATACCTCGGAACCACTAATTAATGTGCAAATATAAATTAATATCATATACCTATACTATGGTCGTGTACAATATAAAGGGCGAGGATTACAGGAAGCGTACCTACTATAATATAAGAGACAACACTCTTTATTTTAAGCTGAGCACTACGTTTTTATTTTACTGAGAATTCATTTCGCTCATCTGGTTAGGTAGTACCTATTATAATAACAAATATTGTATGCTAATTATTTGGCCAGTTAGTGGACTAATTGCACCCAGAGGAGAGCTCTGTATAGCTATGGTTCTGCGTTATATATATTATGGTAAGGCGTCTGTTAGTAAGCAGACAGTGGGACGGCATAGCGTCTGATAATAATATCTTTACGATATGTTTATATTATTATACTCGGCCAGATCTTATGTACACACGCCATTACACTAATAAAGCAGTATCGGACACTACGGTGTTATACAACAATAATAATAATAACAACGATAATAAGAGTAAGTTATGTTATTGTATTATTATTATGTTTAGAGTTTGAAAAAATAATAAAACGAAGGAGGAAAACACACACAAACAGTCTATGTACAATGTAACCAAACTACGAAATAATTAAATGTAAATAAATAAAAAAGCACACATTTATATAATATTAAACTGCAAAGGAAAAAAAAACTAAACGAAAACAACAATATACACTCTATTAACCGTGAGAAAAACGGTTAATGTTCTAACCGACTACTGATGCGAAGTACAAAACGTTTTATCAAACGTGAATACAACACCATACAATATTATAATATTATCATTAATAATTAAGGGCTGTGGATTTAATGCACTTAAAATGTCAAAAAAAAAAAAAATTGCTGTGTAAAACCTTTTAAATGCATTAAAATCTCTAAAAATTCTGCACTGGAATGATAATAATTTTACAAATATAAAAATCTATTTTTTTAATTAAAGATAATATCAATCAAGTGGCCCGTTCAGAAAGTGTGTAAAATATTCATTAAAGACGAACATGAAAAAATAATACGTAAAATGCGTGAAAAAAGTTTTAATTGACGAAAATTATAAAAAAAATATTGAAATCTGTAATAAAAAATTAAAAAACAAACTAAAAAGGCAAAAAAAAAAAAAACGTAATAAATTAAAAATGTAAAAAATGCTAAAAGTAGCAAAAGAACAGTTTTCAAAATCGAATGTTCACAATTGTACCTAATTGAAACTTTGTGTACTTTGCCTATATCACACGGTTCAAGGTGTGATAAAAATAATGCATTTTTATACGGACCCACAACCCTAATTATTATTATAATAATATATATGCATTGTTGTTGTTGTTGTTGTACCTTGTGGCGTCGTAGGGGACGGTCGGCGGGTTGCCGTACGTCGGTCTTTTGGATATCGACGACGGTTTCGCGGCGTACATGGTAAACGGGTCTTCCATGAGCTCGTTGTCGCTGAACAGAGGATAAAAAATCGACGGCGGCGGCGGAGGAGGAATAGTGGAGAAAAGCGCACACAACAAAATACGGCAGTGTTAGTATAATATAATATAATATTATAACGTTTTAATCAAAATAATTATTATTTGTACAACATTAAGCGTTTATAGTGTTATGATATAATAATTAAAATCACGGACTAAGATATACAGGACTGGACACGACAAGGTTGGAGGGTGTGGGGGGTTGACTACGAAATGTTTTACAACAGGCAGTGTTCGGGGGGATATTTTCCTTTTAGCATTACTAGCGCCGTCTTAGTGGATACTTTTGGAACTATATGACAATAATGTGATCTAGTTCCATAAGTATCCACTAAGACGGCGCTAGTAATGCTAAAAGGAAAATATCCCCCCCGAACTCCGCCTGTTGTAAAACATTTCGTAACCACAATATTCATCTCGTGTCCAGTCCTGTATATCTTAGTCCGTGATTAAAATATCATATTATTGTTATGTAGCTATCTGTGCATAATATAATAATATACGGGTGGTCGGCGGATTGTTTGCTCTAATCGAAACACACACGCGATATCAACACCAATCATCGATGTTGCGCATGCGTGTACGGAGAGATGTTGTCTATACAGGATAAGTGGTGTGATATGGGCACACGTCTGCGGTTCGATTTTCATCGTTAGTTTAAAAAAATTTCAAAAATTTAATTCAGAGTCGAAGAAGAATATATATATAATATGTAAACACCTGATGATTGCGCCACCACACCGCGATTGTGGCCAAAACAAACTAAGACATAGGTAGCTGCGGTATACCGCGGTAGTTCGATTTATCCGTTTTCGGTATGAACGGTGCTCTGTGGTGCTAAAAATTAAGAAAAAAGCCGACCTATTTTTTTGTTTGATGGTATGATATTGCGTGTCTTGGCAGGACACGTCGGGACGTAGTCATCCATTTTTTTTCTTATTCGCATTATTTGATATAAAGGACGATACACTTTTCAACATAATTTCCATCAGTGGCATAATATATCACTCCAAAAAACCTTTTTTGTTTCAAAGTTAAATATTCTTAGTACAACATACATATTACATAGGTACATTACAATTTTTTAAAGTCAAATCAGCCCTCCCCCCCCAAAAAAAAAAAAAATTAGGTCTTAGTTACGCCACTTTTATAATCCACTTGAGATTCGATTTATCGATACTGCAGGACTGTGCGCATAGTTAGCCAGAGCTAGTCAACGTATATTGAGCATTCCCAAATTTTAAAATACATGATATGTTTAAAAAAGTTTGTAAAGGAACTGCACAGCATAAGGCAGGCGATGCGAGAGAATGAAAAGTGCCTAAACTATTCGAGAAAATAACATTCAGCGGTCGCATGCTCGTACGATATCGAGAATAGAAAAACCTTTTCTAAACTATTCGTGTAGAGTGTAGACGTGTAATAGTTTAGAAAAGCCTCTCCCCCCACTCCGCCGTGCCTCTCTTCGTTTGGTCAGAAACCAGCAGTGAGTTCAATGCATACATTTGCAGAAAATCAGTATAATGAATTCTAGGTGCAATACGATATGTGTTGTGTTGTCATAAAACGTACACACACACACATCGCACAGGGTATTCCGTCCCAGCACACTTCGTATATATATATATGGTCGTAATACAACAATACGGATGACATGTATTATTATTTATACAAACGGCTTCGAGTGAGACCCACACGGCGTGTGTGTGTGTGTGTTTGCCTAACGAGCGTATAAGGGACGAGTTTATGTTTGAAACGTAAGTAGTAAGTTTATGTAAAACGAGGAGTTATATTCGTGGTATACGGGTATCGGCTCGGTATAAAACAACAGACCTCTCGTGACGGACGCGAAAACACGTGCCGTGTATAAATTATTATGCGCTGACCTTAAAAATTAAAATACCAATACGGTACGATAATAATATATTCGAGCACTGCTCTAGGGCTGCGGGATCAAAAGCTCTGTTCGTGACACGTCATATAATAATATTACTTATCGTCGTCCGCCGATTTTCGACGCAGTTTACAACAATACAAAATATATTTTTATTTTTTACGTGTATCATTATACGGTTAGGTAATACGTGACTGCAATCGTTCTGCACATGTATTGACTGTCGGCTATAATATAGCTGCAACACGTGGGCAATAAAGATAGGGTTGGAAATTAGTTGTACTATTCTATAATAAACTATATCATAATGCTGCAGCTGTATAACAGGTATGAGACAGTATATTATGATAATATTCGTTTATTTATTTATTTCAACGAGCCCGAAAAACGAAACGGTAATTATATTGTTATGACAATCGACACAGTAACGGTCAGAATAATTGGTACAAATCGAATAAATTAGATAAAATTAAATTAATATATAAAATAATATTTAAAGCATTGTTAGATCTATAATAAACAATAGTAGAACAAACAAAAAAATGGTCTCTCCTACAGTTAAGAAATAATATGCTAATCGAATATAAGGAGAGGAGACAATGCTAAATATCAGATCACCTATCCAAAGTACTCGAATCCGAATCCAACAAGTCCTCCAGGGTTCCTATATAAGAAACTCACCTTATAAACAAATTGTAATGTGTTCCCGCTTAGCAATATAATCTCTATTATTTACTATTTTAATTTATTGTCTGTAATTTTTGTTATTCCCAAAAACGTGATTTCGTTTATCATTAGTTGTAAATTGTAATGTACCTATAAATATAAAATGTAATGTTACATACTGAAATGATGTCGCGAATAGTATAAAAAGAATATTATTATTTTATTTTATTTTAATATAATATTATATTTGTGTATTTATGAACATTTTAATGATCAATCACTTGGTACAGGTAAACCTACCAAAAAAAAAAAAAAAAATTAACTAACGATGAAAATAAAAAACAATAATGGTGCAAAACGCTATGGCAATTATATTATTATTGTTGTGTAAATGTTTGTTGAGCTCAAATAATAAATTATATGCATATATATTGTCTGGTATTATGTATAGATTGACCAAACTTGATTTTGATCAGCTGTCAATTCCGAAAGCTGCGTGGTGGACAGTTTTAACATTATGTGTTTTCTCAAGATAATTATATTTTTAATTCAATTATAATATATCGATTACGACCAGAGCGAAAAGTCGTTAAAAACGAATTATTTCTATTCGGTGCATCTTAAAACAAAAAAGGTCTATACATTTTGTTTTTAATTATAAAAGTTAAATAATAAATTATATAAATAAGATACTTAAAAAAAAAATGACATTATCGTATCGTATAATTGCTAGATAGCAGTACAGCACGAATTAAATAGTTTTTTATTCAAGATTTTTATCGTCTCGTGGAAATAATACATTTTTTTTTTATACAATTTAGATGCGTCCATCTAATTGTTGACTCGCGGCGAGTTTTAAAATTCGACGATAAGTTATATAGTGCAGAAAAAGCCACTTGCTAATAAAAAGCAAACAATATTTATATTTTAATAATGGGACTCGGAAAACTAACACGAAACGGATTAAATTTTTTTTATGAAAAATGCATAATTTAACCTATCATCATCTCGAAATAGTAATAATTCATATATAGTGTTTAATAATTTAACCGAAAAAACGGTTTTGTGTTTTTTTTTAATAGGATTTATGGTCGGTTGAAAATACTTTCGCTGTAAATAACATGATGAGTAATTAAGTTTGGGCAAAACTATATTTTACGAAATATATATTAGTCTTTCGACGTCCGGATCTCTCGGCAGCCGTGCAGTGTATAATAATATTATAATATGCGCACGTCGAAAAAAATTCTCTACGAGTAGGTACATATTATATATGTACACTATAATGGACTTCAAAAGAACAAACGGATTTCGAAATAAGACATAAATTAGTCGTAAAATATGTACATATTATGTGTAATTGATTTATTTTTGTGTACGAATAGTCAAATACATATATAATATGTCATCATAATTTACATGTTATAGGTACACGTGATATCGTGTGCGATAGGTTCTGTAGTTCGGTGTGAAAGTTTCAATTAGCATTTCGTTTTATTGCGGACAGTAAATATATAATATTCTTGTTTTACATATTAAGTTGAGTAAAAATTAATAATCGATAGTGGTGGAGTATACTGTATACAGATAGAATAAATTAGATTAATAATGAGTAGTAATAATTACAACATATTACAACGTATACATTGAAAGATCCATGGGGTGTCGCCATTGGGTGGCTTGCCCCTCCCGCCAATCAAATCGCATCAAATTTACTTATTGTACAACTTGTAAATACAGATTGTAAGCATAAATTTGTGTTCAAAAAAAAAAAAAAATTAAGACACTTTGTGTTATCGATATTTATAGTAAATTTCCAAAACCCATTAATCAAATGAACCACGGATATTAAAAGCATTGTTGGATCTATAGTAGAACAAACAAAAAATAAATAATATGTTTAGTTTAAAAAAAATATTGCCATACACAGCCGTCATAATTTTTTATTGACCACGAGACTACAATAATTATTATTATTGCATTTGTGCATTTTGTAGGGTCTCCCTTAGAGTTAAAACATATTATGCTAATCGAATGCAAGGATGAGAGGAGACAATGCCAAATATCAATTTACCCCTATCCGAAGTACTCGAATCCGAATCCAACAAGTCCTCCAAGGTTCCTATCAGAAACTCACCTTACAAACAAATTGTAATGTGTTAAAGCTTAGCAGTATACCCTCTATTATTTACTATTATATTTTTATCTAATACTTAATATTTTAATTTATTGTTTGTCATATTTTGTTATTCCTAAAAACGTAATTTCGTTTATCATAAGTTGTACATAATTGTAATGTATAAATATATATCTAAAATGTAATGTTATACATCCAACGATGTAGCGGAAAAAATTCTCTACGAGTAAGTATTTAGATTTATATATATTATATAGGTACACTAAATGGACCT